AAACGTCACTCTTTACACAACCACTTGACGAGCTGTCAACTCACAAGAAGTCTTGAATGGATCAGGTCCAACTTCGCTTTCACTTTCCTCCTCAAATGCAAATAATTTTAATCCAGGTCCACTGACCACTTATTTGAGAATCATTAAAATCTATTATTGATGGCTCTAATGTCCTGATTGTGTCTTTCTACGAGTATTTTCAAAAACGAGAATTTCGACCGATTTGGCCAGCACCATATTCATTAAAAAGTGCTCTTGGTGTTTTGTTGAAGATCACAACAGTGATGCGCCCATTCATTTGAATTCACTGCATGTAATTAAACTTGCTCATCATTGAGGCCTCGAACCTCATCCTGAGTTCAAGAAAGTTATGATCGCTGCTGCAAAGCTCATAAAACGGTGAGACAAAGAGGATGCTTTCGTACTTTAAAAATAAGTAGCGCCGATCATAGATGAACTAAAGACCCCGATTTCATCGAGCTTATACTTTCAAGGTTCAAACTGTTCCCTGCTCCTACATAATAACGCTACTTAAGTATTCAACAGAAGAGTAAGTTTGCGATGCCAGGAAGCTCATAATCCTGCGTAAATCTCCTCCAGACATGAACTAATCAGTAAGTATATCGGTCCCACAATTCTGAACCTGATGACGGCAATTTATACACGGTGAGCATACAACTCACTACCTGTCAAACTCACGCAGTGATGTGGTATTAGCTATCTCCATTATGAGAGATTTCAGTAGGATCAATTGTCATCTGCACCCACGTGATTATAGTTTACATCATGAGCACTCTAGAAAAATGGCTTATAATGACCGATTTCAATAGGCAGCTCCCATCGGCACCTTTCATAGCTCAACGTTTCGAATTTACATTGTTATATCGACCGATCACCGGCGTTGCTGGCTACATGTTGACGACGCAGGACAGGCTGAGTTCGGTGTCGCGCGTGTGGTATTCATTGGTCAAAGCGTTGTCAACAGTGGCCAGCAACGCCGTCGGTCGGCCGGTCGGGAGAAGCAATGCACGCCTCCGAGCTCTGAAAGCAATCAATTTCTGGAGGAACCAATGCCCAGAGAAGCTTCTAACCGACAAGGGAGGAATTCGTGGTCGCAAGGGCTGTTCAAGATGATGTATGTAACGGCTTAGTGTTTTCAAACGCTGCACTAATAGTTTAAATTTACCAAACAATTATGGGTAAATTGGGCCATTCATGCCGTATGATAGCTGATGACCGTTGGACCACGGCAGTTACGGGCTGGATCCCTCGAGAAGTCAAACTAACAACGGGACGGCCGCCTGCCCAACGGACAGACTTCTTCACAAAAGCTCTGAACGAAAGAATATTTTGCCTCTGTCCCTCGAACAAGTACGATTCACTGGACTAGGCTGGGTTGCGACAGGGAAATAGGGACGTTGCTGGCACCCGCTCGAGGAAATCGATGATCAGCGGGACGACAGGCGAAACCGGTGACTCTGGTGAAAAAAGGTAACGGAATTGTTTTTCTCTGTATTATAACGCTGTATCGAAAAATTATTGAACCGAGCAGTTACTCAGTACCGACGCTGTGCAACGGTAAAGCAGTGGTGGGCCAGTGGACTGGTTGGCTTGACAAGTAGGTTCGTATTCTTCATGCATGTGTGAAAGTGTTCCAAAAAAAGTTTTTCTCATCTTCACCGGTCGAAAAATGGTAGAGATCAATTTGAGCAATGAAGAATCCCGAAAACTTGGCTCGAAGTAAACTTCGGAAGCCTTGTGGAGAGAGGCAACAGATTTTTCGGTGGTACGCAATATTATAACACTACATCTCGAAAAGCAATTTAGAAGGTCAAAATAATTCTGCTCTGACATCGACAACAGATATGCCTACCTATCTGGATAGCATTTTGGACAAAACGGATATGTCGATCCTCCAATTCTATTTTGGAATTAGGCATGCCATCACGTCGGTGAAAAATTGAACGCGCTCGGTCCCGAGAGGATCCTACCGGAAGATCTCAATAGCCTCCAAGAAATATCGTCGGTACTCTGAGACCTTGGCGATATTGACAACCATCGCTTCAAGTCTGTAGCCTTTCAAACTTTTGCACGAGGGGTTCTCGAGTTATGAACAGAAACTGATAGTCATGCCAGAAAGAAGGGTTCTGGAGAAGGTTTGGTCGATCAATCATATCCCTAGGGCACAAGACTCATTGAAGTGCCGCAACAGAACAAGATGCCTTGAGTTCATGATTTTGACAAAGGCCTTGACACTGACGACATAAGAGGCAAGAGCAGTCGGACATGGATGATTGTACTCTGAATACATGTATGCTTAACAAATTTGACACCAATTCGACGGCAGAGCTCCCTTCATCACCTAAGCGTTCAGGTTTTATTCAGGAGAGCGATTCCCTCTTCCCCAAAAGTATCAGTTCTGCTCCTGACAAAGTTGTGTCACTTCGCATGGGAACATAAAAGTGGGATCGGCTGTAGGCTGTGACTACGATGTCAAGCAGTACGAAGGAGCTGAATAAAGTCGATTGGTTCGGGGGATCGGTGAATTGAACGAAAACGAC